CCCCAAAACCCCAAAACCCCAAAACCCCATTAGATAAGATTACACGTTATGAGTAATAATTAAATATGATTTACCGCAAGAATCCAAAAATATTATTATGATTTAATTATTATTGCTGATTGCCCTTGCTTACTTTCTATACGAGAAAGTTTTCAAATTTTACTATAGATATTGGTTTTACAGAAGCTAAGGTATCCCAGCTCTAGGAATTCCTTGGCCTATTCTTGGTACTCTTTGGAATGTCAAAAAAGTCTTAGATAACATGGGTCCATATAGCAAGACAATTCTTGAAGAGTATTGGCATAATTACTTTGGAGATCAACTACCCCCTATTTTTAGTGACCATAGAATGCCATGTGCCTCAATAATATTTTGTGATCCTACCTATGTTAATGAGATATATACGACTAAAACTAAATATATGGATAAGCATCCCAAGTTTTCCAGGACTTCATATGTTCAATTTAAGAATTCCACCTCTCTACAAAGATCTACAGAAGACTGGAATCAAAAGAGGAAACATCTTACTCAAGCATTCTATAAAGATAAGATAAAAATAATGTTGAAATCCACGATTGCAGTTACCAATGCAAGAGTGAAAGAATGGTAATAAATTCAGTAGAGTTAGAACCCTGTAATAATCTTAAACAAACAAGTGCAAGAACTCATTGATGATGTGATCTAAGTGTGTGTATTTGGCTAATCTAATCTCAAGAAATAAGTTACTTACTTTGAAAATGGCAAGGAAATTTAGTTAACCATTGGAAAATACTTGAGAATATTAACCGAACATGTATTCTCAAGATATGGAGGATTGAGGCAAATGACAGATATATTTGATTACGTACCTGTCACACCATTTGAATTTGAAGTCTTCAAAAATGCAAAGAACTTTAAGATATTTATTCAAACTCTTCTTGATGAAAGAAGAGTTGAAATGAGCTAACCTAATTGGGTTTCTCAAGGAGATTTTCTGACAATTTTAATGCAAGATGAATACTTTAAGTCTGATGAGGTGATAATAGATGAGTGCAACACTTTCATGCTAGCTGCAAATTTAACCACATCAATAACTCTAACAAATTTAATCTTCTACTTAATCAAAGATTAGTCAATCATGAGGAAAGTTCGAGAGGAGAGTATAATAGACTTGAAGGTTGAAAAAGGCTTTTAAAATCTCTCAGACGAACAGTGGAGTGAATTACTAACATATGAGGGGCTCAATAATTGTAATTATCTTAACTATTGTATTTTGGAATCACTGAGAATCGATCCTCCAGCAAGAGTGACTACTCCTCATTGCTTTACTGAAGATATTGAGATTTGTGGAAAGAAAATACTTGCAGACTCTTAATGGCACATCAACATTTAGTATCTGCATCATAATCCAAAAGAGTGGATAGATCCAGAAGAGTTTATACCAGAGAGATTTGATCCTGCTAGCTAGTACTACCTAACTCCATAAGGGAACAAGAGACATCCAATGTCATTCGGTCCGTTTTTAGGAGGGAAGAGAATATGTCTAGGAAAAACATTTGCTGAAAGCATGTTGAAGTGTATGTTCCCTGTTATTATAAACTAAATTGACTTTGAATTCGATGATTTGGAGTTATTTAAGAGGAAGCCAACAAATACTTTCTTGTAAAAAGAGCCATCTTATATGATTAAGCTAAAGAATTATAGTGGCTTAATCTGATTGCAGATGAATTGAAATTTCAATGAGCAGTGCAAACTTTATTTTCGAATTAAAGTCAATCAATTTAATTTTTGCTCTTGTTAGGTATCTGAAATATTTACATTATCAATAAGTTTATTTAAAATTGATATTTTTACAAAATTCATGCTAAATTTTAACTTATGGGGTTTTGGGGTTTTGGGGTTTTGGGG